TGATCTCAATTCTAAGCCAAAAAATCGTGATTCTCATTTTATGCAAAATCGTGCAGCCCTAATTTGTAGCATAGTTTTTTCCCCTTTTTGACTACAGAAAGATCGACAGAAATCTACTCGAGTATGTAAAACCAGATGGGCGTAATTTGCCTTTAAGATGAAATGTTTGTCTCTCTGCTTGCAGCTTGCAGGAAACTAGTAATGCTGAAACAATCAAGGGAGTGACAGAAGATTCATCAGCAACAATAGCTTAACAGTGGGGAAGAATATCCCCTCTTCCAGCCATGTGCTCCTCTTGTGCAGCAACCGTCTGCTTATCAATTTTCTCCCTTTTCTTTCAGTCTTACCTCGAAGCCAAGGCCCAACTTCTAAAATCCTGAGATTAAGCCTTGGAGGAGATTATGAAAGATCATAGATTTAATGAGCTGGATATGACATAATTTTTATTTGAGATGTTGAAAAATTCAGAGTGGTATTATTCTTCCACATTTATGTTCACCTACTCTGCAGTAAATACAGGTATTAACCTGTTGGAGGAAAAGATGTTTATATATAGATGACTCCCATTAAATTCACATTTAGTAATTTGACATTGTTTCTTCTTTTACACATAAAGTTGAACTATAGATGGTTGAAATGTGTGGAAACAAACAGCAGGTCTGCGGAGGTTAAAAACTGACATTATCTCTCTTGTCTTTCCAGGTCCAGTAAAACGATGAACTTATGCTCCAAATGTTTTGCTGGTAAGTCACTTCTAAATGCACAGTATTTGTCTTGTGGGGGGAAATAAACAACACTGGGTTTTCATTTGGATATCATTCAATAGCAAAGGAGGCACAGGACACAAATGGGTCCTGTTACACCTTGGGTACCTGACATCTTTCAGCAGCCAACAACATCCCTCAGTTTACTGAATGTTTGCCAACTGCGTGACTTTTCTCGAAATATAAAAGATTTAAAGTGGTGCTACTTTGCATTCTTGCTTACATGCACGAAAGTAGGAACTCTACTTGGAGAATGAGCCAGACTTCTTTGTCCGTCAGTACAAGCCAGCTGGAAGCTGTACGAAAGAGACAGAACTGATAGCTATTCTGTTGCTTCTGATGTTCACTTTGGTTGTTTTGTCTGTAAATGTGGCCACAGGACACGCGTGGTCTTTCACTCGAATGTTGTGATGTTTTGTCCAATGAAGTTGTGGCTGGCTCAATAAATGGCCTGTATTTGTATAGCGCTTTACTAGTCCCTAAGGACCCCAAAGCGCTTTACACAACCAGTCATCCACCCATTCTCACACACATTCACACACTGGTGATGGCAAGCTACATTGTAGCCCTGGGGCACACTGACAGAAGCGAGGCTGCCGGACACTGGCGCCACCGGGCCCTCTGACCACCACCAGTAGTCAATGGGTGAAGTGTCTTGCCCAAGGACACAACGACTGAGACTGTCCAAGCCGGGGCTCGAACCGGCAACCTTCCGATTACAAGGCGAACTCCCAACTCTTGAGCCACGATCGCCCAATATGTTCGTTGTCAAAAAAATAATAATTCCTTTGCCCCCACAGCAGGTACTCAAAGCCAATCGCAGTGTTGTTTCTGTGCCTCTCTGGGTTTCAGTTTGTAGTAATGGTTAAAACAATAAATGATTGAAAGTTGCATTGGTGTATAAGGCCTGTTAACTGAAAAGGCTTATTACCTATGTCATTTTTAACATCAGTTGCCTCCAGAGTTTCACCTGTGCTGTTGTTGCTTGACTACAGAGTTAATAGTCTATACTACAGAGATTCAAATCCCCATACCCATGCACGGATGGATGCATTTCAGCACCCCTGGGTGCTCCTGGGTGTGTCTTTGTCTTTGAGAGTTACTTGCAGCTGCTTACTTCTCGCATATAAATGGCTGAAACTATTGGATGTTCATTTTCTCTTGGCGTGCAGAGGCATTCTCAGTGACAGCCTGACACACTGCTAGCAGCAGCTTGAGGCTAGGTGTGCCAGCAGATTTCAGTTAGGAATGTCAATAATGCTAAGAAGTCATTCTCAGAAAACGAAAGAACCCATAAAGCGCCTCACTCCAAAATGATGTATTTGCCATTTGGAGGAAAACGGTGAAAGTTAGGAGATAATTGCTTCCATAAAGGATGATGAGATTCCATAAAATCTTCTTAATTTGCTGGGAAGATGGTAGCTGTTCTCTGAGGGCAGATTCGGGAAACAGACTTATCTTTGTCTGTTTCTCTGGTTACTGCATTCACTGTTTTGCTTGGAAGCTTTCTAAAACATAGAAAGTTTCATTTTTCTCCAGCATGATAATTGCACAAGAGAAAAATGCCCAGTTAAAGTTTGAAAATGTCATTGTATGAATTAAGCTGTCCCAATGACTTCTCCAGTCTGGTTCAGGTGGATGAGGGTTGAAGGTGATCCGCAGCCCTGTCGGTGGTCATAGCAACCAGTGAGCATGGTAGACAGTGAGGACCTGAGGGCCCGGCTGTGTGTCTAGCATCACAGAGAGCAGTAATGCTTAGAATAGACTTGATACACACAAGTATGGAGGCTGAGCAGAAGTGGGTTAGCCCACATGTGGAGGTGAAAGTAAAATCTAGGCTGGCCTCCCACACCTTCCCCTGCGGGGAGAGGGTGGTGGTGGTGGTGGTGGAATAAAGACAAGAACCAGCTCAGGCGTGCAAGGTGATTTTTATCTTTGTCTCACTGAGTCACATTTCACTTGGTAAAGTTAACTGATAGCCACATGGTAAGGGAGTTTAGAGATGGTTTGTACTTTCATTCAGGCTGGTTTTTTTTTTTGTTTTTTTTAAGGTTAAAGTTCTATTTTATTTTATTTTTATACACACATGGTAGTCATGAAATGATCAGTCGCAGAGAGATGGAGATGGCGCATGCTGCAACCAGTGATTATTTTGATTGTTGGTTAATCTGTGAATATGCAGATTAATCAACCATAAAACAAAACAATATGCAACAATGGTGGAAGCTGCTTATCAAAGATTACCATAGAAGGAAAATAGAGGCATAGATGGCACCAATGCTTTGGAAGGTATTCAGTAAATTATTGCTGATGAAAGAAAGTTTAATATGTTGTTTTTGTTGTTTTTTTTTGTTTGTTTTTTTTAAATGGTGGCAACTATTTGTTACAAATACAGCGTGGCATGTTAAAAAGCCAGAATATTAATTTGAGCACAGTTTTTACAAGATGCCTTTTAATCAGTGCACTGGGCTTTGATTGTTTTAAGTAATCGTGTAATTGACTTTTTGGGATGAAATCATTTCCTAGAGTTTTGTCTGTTTGCTGGTAATTTAATTTAGATGTGTTTCCATCTACAGTGTAAATGCAGATCCTTAAAGCAGCTGACCGTCAGCTGTTATTGACTTTCCTCAAATGTACTGATAAGGAAAGAGTCAGATGATTGCTGAATTCAGTGGACGCTCCATTTTCAAGTCACTGCTAAAAGTTATAGGTGTAATGGGAGGAGAGAGCCATAAACACTGAGGCACTCTGGAACATGATGTTGGGGAAACTCTGCTCACAGTTATATTTACCAAACAGCCGATGCATTATAGTTTGACAGACAGGAAAAACTGGGATACCAAAGGAAATGGTCAGGCAGAAGATAATAACATATGAGAGCTCTGTCAGGGCGGAGGACTAACTCACTGTTTCACCAAATGTTTTCTTTTTTGTCTTTAGGTTGACTTGATGGTTTTAGTTTAAATATGTACCTCCCACATATTGCTGTTAAATTGCCTGATAACTCTTATACACTAATTTCGATGTATTTTTCAGCTACATGAAACCTTTTACAGATGTTATAACGGGAGATCTGGGGTGCACAGTGCCTATACCACACTCCATAAGTCTAGAGTTGTCTGTTTGACACAATGTCCTATCTCCTCTTATTTTATTTTTCCTGTCCCTCCCACTGTTTGTATTTTCCCTGTCCTCTTCTTTTCTTTTCTTTTTTTGCATTCCTGTCTACTCCCTCACTCTCTGTCCTTGACCACAGACGTCCAAAAGAAGCAGCCAGTCGAAGACTGCACCCCCAAGCCCATCCAAAGCACCGGGAGTAGCCAATCGCCAGTTTTCAGTAGCGAGATGAGCAGTAGCAGTAGCCAATCCCTATCATTGTTGCCGCCCTCAAGCTCCGAGCAACTGTCAGCTGAAGAGCCCTTACCTGTGTTTTCCAGCACAAGGGAAGGTAAGCCTGGTCAGCCCATGACTTCACACTCACCCTGTTCTGTTTTTAAAAACTGACTTTCAGGAGAGCAAACTTTCCTAACAATGTGGAAGCAAAAGGTTAATGGTCACAGTAGACTGAAACTTTTGCTCAATTTAACGGTTAAGTCTTTCTCAAAGAATTGATGGATGCAGAGCAAGCTGTTTGTGGCAGTGATGATAGTCTGGACTGACTGTTCTTTTTCTTTGTCAAGCACAGGAAGATGCAGAACATGGCTGACACAGGAGTGCAGCACTGAAACAAAGGAACATAATGAAATATGAAGTTCATTGCAGAGCTCATAAAATCCCTCATGTAGGAATTTTCTCAACTATCGTGGACCTCAAGACTACGTTAAATGTCATTCTTTGTAGATGAAGCAGTATGATGTCTCTGTGGTTTGGAACAGTTTGTGCAGGCATAAATGCTGCTGTGCAGCCTTTTCAGTCTTTAAATAAGTACTGGATGAATCTTTCTGTGGGTTTTGCTTTTAAAACATAGAAAAGGCAGCAGTAGTAATTCTCTAGTACAAAGTGGCACATGGTACAAGGAAAACTTCAATCTCGAGTAGAAAACACAGTTCTCTGCAAAAGCCTCTGACTGTTCAGATCTGTATGACCAGATCCTATACTACATCAACCACAACATTAAAATCACCTGCCTTATGGATGTCAGCTGTTCCCTTCTAGGGGTGACCTGTAGGGACGTTAGCCAGAGCGCTTTGTTTTTGACAGTTGTGGTGATCTATAGATTTTTCTTGATCAGATGCATTTCATGCATGTTTAATCCGATCAGGTCAACACTTTAGGCTCTTCATCATGTTCTTTGAGCAGTTTCTGCTGTGTATCAGAGCTCTTTTCCTTGCTGGGGTAGATTCTGCCGTCACAGAGTATTAGAAGTGGGGAAACTGTACGTACAAGGGTGGAAAGACTATTAATAAAGATCAAGAACCAAGTTTTCCCCAGTAGATTGTTGCATTATAACAGAATAATACGTTTATTCACGTCATAGGTTAGTGGATTCAATGTTGTGGATGATTAGTGTGTCTTGGTCTATAGCAGATTGTCAACAATAATTACTTAATATAATCTATTTTGTAAATTGCTACTTTTTAAATCCTTTTTTGGACGCTTTGGGACAGAAACGAGCGTACTCTGAATGCTGGGCTCCTGCTTAAATATAAGAAAGGGGTTCAAAGTAGAGTTGCTCTTCTGCATCAAAAACGGCTAATTGAGATGTTTTGGGCCTCTGATTAGGATGTCTCCTGGAGGTCTCCTAGGTAAATGGTTTCAGACATACCCAACCAGGAGCAGATTCTCCTGGCAGAGTCGGGACATGTTGAAGTGATTATATCCCTCAGCTGTCTCAGGAACACCTCAGAGAGCTAAAGGCGGTGGCTTGAGACTACTGCTCCTATGACCCAGACTCGCATAAGCAGTAGGGAATATAGATAAATGTTGTTCTTAACACATTTCTAAGTTGTAGAGTTATACTTGCTTTCATCTGGAGTCATGTTTCTTACCATGTGACAAACTTCAGTATTAGTTTTCCTGTTGGTCTCCAATCAAAGTCTCTCCACCAGCACATTAACTAAATTTTTACCCACCTTTCGCTTGACTGAGTTTGCTGGTAACTGTATCTGTCTGCTGTTTGATGCTGAGGTGATGTACAGAATCGTTCCTAAACTCACTATTAAGCGCTTAAAATGCACCTTTCCATACATACATCTTTGTTTTGTATCATTTGTAAAATATTGTTTTGGTTGCTTAAAAATCAAATTTAAAAATCCTTGAAATGTTCATTTCATTTGTTTTGACATTTAATGGCTTTTGAAAAGGTCAAGCTGGTTTGGATGAAGTGAATATATGGCCTGCTGAAAAATGTTAGAACATCTATATAATAATGTAATGACTAATAGTTTAAGTATTGACATTTCAGCTTCAATTTCAAATGATGAAGTTGTTTTTATTTTAAGCATGGTACACAGTACAATCGTAGGTTTTCTTTCCTCGGAGTGGATGTTAAAGGAAGGAGGTCATTCCACATCGTGTCTCACTCGCCTTTTATTCCTCCACCTGTAGGTGTGTCGTCCACAGAAACAGCCCAAGGCACACTCTGCACGCCCACAAAACGTCCACGAGAATCAGGTACCACCTCTTCCTCTTGCCTTCTAGCGCCGCACGACCTTTGACATGTTGAGCGTTAAATCTTTAACCCTGGTGTTTGTTTCCAGCCTCGGGCTCGGAGAGCGAGGCCACACCAGAGAAACGACCACGGACAGAAGAGAAAGAAGGGAGTGGCGAAGAGGCCCGCGGGACGCCCAAGCAGAAGAACCGTCGGCGCTGCTATCGCTGCCAAACCAAACTAGAGCTGGTGCAGCAGGAACTGGGATCCTGTCGCTGTGGTCAGTATCATCTTTGAGACGCATGTCACTGTATAAGCTAAGATGGTCATCAAGCTTAAATGCTGTATTTTGGTTTGCCTGTCTCTCCCCCCCCCCCCCCCCCCCCCCCCCCGACTAGGTTTGCATAAATAAGCACTGTAAACTCAACAGGGGGGCTGGATAATGACTGAGTTTGGCTTATGGCATCTTTGTCAAATGTTTGCATATAAATAATGTGGGAAAACTATAACTGTATCAGAATCACTCACATGTACAAATTACAGGTAATGCACATTCATCCTCTTAAAATTGTATAAAGAAAATAGCACAGACCTGCTTTAGAAACTAGGAAAAGAGACCTCTTCCCAATGTTCTTGTTTAACAATAAGCTTGGCAAAGTAAAATTAAATAAAATGTGTATTGGGGTCACTTCCTGCCTCACCAGCTTCTCTGTTTGCCTCCCAGGCTACGTTTTCTGCATGCTCCACCGTCTACCCGAGCAACACGACTGTCTGTTCGACCATCTGGGCCGCGGACGTGAGGAGGCCGTCCTCAAGATGGTGAAGCTGGACCGCAAGGTGGGCCGTTCATGCCAGCGCATCGGGGAGGAGTGCTCCTGATTGGCCACAGAGTGAGCAGCCATCCAATAAAACAGGAGCTTACAAAGAGGAGGTGGTGGTAGTGGTGTTGATGGAAGGAGGTCTAGGAGAATTGACAAATGGGGTAATGGGAGGGGGCGGGTGGGAGGGGGGAGAAGAGGAGGAGGGGATGGGGTGTGGTTGTAACATCCTGCATCTGACCCAACGATTCTGGATCTGAGCTTAAGGCCACCCTGTTGAAGTCCTGGTTTCCTGCCTGGAGCGTCTGTTCGGACTCTGCTCAGGGCCAACAGGGGGCCGCCTGGTGGCTGTTCTTCAGAGCTACGTTCAGTATCGCATGTTCTCACACACACAGCCTTAACCCCACCCGTCTTCAGAGGAAGGACACCACAGAGACGGATCCAGTCAGTTGTATGTCATGCACAGTTCTTCTGTGCCTTGCCCCGGTTTTTTCCTCTTTACTCAGTCTTTTTTTTTTTTTTTGTTCTTTCTTTTCAGTACAGGAAGTGAACTGCTCTAACGCTCAGCTGAACTGATCCATTTGGATTTTTTTGAATTCTACAGAGTTATTTGTTTTATTTTGATTTTTTTCCCCCATTACCTGGTCGCGGATGAGGGGTCTAGCACTATCCCACGACCACTCCTCAGGTCGTCATCAAGGGGTCGAGGTATCAAACCTGTAACCCCACCTTCCTCTTCTTTTTTTTTTTTTTTTTTTTTTTTTCCCTCCTCCCCCTTTCTTCCACCCGTGTTTGGACCCATGCACGGCATCACTAACCAGTTGTACTCATGCATGGTTCTAGCAACAGTGTATTTGTGCAGGTTTTGAGCGTGTCATTTGGTAATGTGATGCAGTCCAAGGACGCTGCCATGGTTCAGTCCTTTTTTCTATTCTTTTTTTATGTTGCTCTTTGTTGTTTGCTGTCTCCTCTGTTTGTTTTTTCTTTTGAATTTTTTTTTTTTTTTTTTTTTTTTTCCCTCCTGTGTGGCCGTTACCTTGATTAGCTCTGTTTTTACTGCTTAACCACGGTGTCGTGGAGGACAATACAGCCGATCCCTGCCTCTGCTCACAGACTGTTGGCAAAAAGGAAAAATACAAATAAAAATAAATAAATAAAATAGACAAACACACTAAATGGACAAGAGACACTCAGATAAATCCTCTGTGTAGCAGTCCCTCTTCTCCCTTCTCCATCCCATTTTTCAATTTACTGAGTGGTACTGTTGTTCTTGATACATAAAGGGGAAGACGACTGAATTTTTGTATTCAAATGAAGAGTTCTTCACCAAAATGCCATATATTAATTTAGAAAAACAAATATCTGAACTATAACTGAGTCTCCATAGCGTCTCACTGAGTATTTAAATTACTACCTTTTTATTTTTATTTTTTTATTTATTTATTTTTTTGCAGGTAGGATAAATTGGAGATTTATTTTCAGCTTTGAGATGTCTCTTTGGAATATAATTCTTTAAATATTATTTCTTTACTTTTTTTTTTTTTTTTTTTTTTAATACTGATTGTCATCCAGAACATCATTTCAGAGAGCGAGATGATTTAGTTTAAATCTGTGATAAATGTCCACCTAAAACATCAAATAAAACTTCTAAAGTAAAAAAGGGCAAATGTTGGATGGGTTTGAAAACTCTGTTTGTCTTTTTGTCAAAGTAGCCAATTGTAAGACTTTAAGAACTGAATACACTGCTTGTGGCATTGTTTGTTTTCTTACCACAGATTCAAACTGACTCTGGTGTCTAATGAATGTTTTGGCAGCAGAAATATCATGCGAATTCTGAAATTGAGTGGTTTTCCCCTTTCCTCATACGTTTTTCTTTTTTGTCATTGTTTCCAATCCTACTCCTAATCAGCCTACTCAGTCTGACTGCTTGGACTTTGTGCTGTGCATATTGTTCAGTTACATGTTTCTTCCTCCTTATCTAAAAGGATTGTTCTACCAAAATCAATGTTTAGTTTGTGATGCTGCAGAAGTTGACGTTTTTCGTCTTTGTTTTTTTTTTGTTTTTTTTTAAGCTCGAGGTGTGAGTGCAACAAAATAAAGACGTTGTGGTTGATTTAAAACAAATTCAGAATCTCCATTTTAAAAAAAAAAAAAAAAAAAAAAAAAAAAATCTGCAGCTTTATCACACGTGTGATGATGACGTTACCGTTTCAGTTTTTCAATTTGGAGAAATAGCAGCAGGTCTCTCTGAACGGCAGGAAAATTAGAAGGTGTCGTCTTTTGCAAAATAACTCCATAAAAGTTGATTTGGGTTGAAAGCCTTTAGAAAAACCACTTAACTATGCTAATCCTCACAAGTCACGGTTTGTTCTGTCCCTCATCACTCCCCACTCCTGCTGTCTTCTCCAGTGAGAACAGTGAAGGATGAAGGGTTTGTTGGCTGATTCTTATTTTATTTTTGAAAAAGTTTTTTTTTTTTCTTCTTTGAGTGCTAATGAGAAATGGAAAAATCAAATTATCTTTCTGTACCTTTTAAAGGAAAAAAATTATTTAACCTTATATCAGTTTGAGTTACTTACACCCTAGCATAGAGTGACATATTTAGTTAAATG